TTATAAAACACTAGGTCTGAGGAAGCTATGTCTTCAGAAAACAGATGATTCATTATCTTAAATAATTAGCTACTATATTCCTCCCTACTGAGAAAAGAACTAAACTGTATCTCCTTCATTTCGGTTATACTTTGGGAATCTTGTAACGCAAGCCTTATTTATCTTGCAGATAAAATTTCCAAACTATTTTCTTTTTTGTTTCTTATACTAAATGTATCCAGGTCTAGCCCCTAACAATCTGATGTGCTAGAACATGCCCAGTCTCCTGGCTCAATAAGTACAGTAGTTGAAAAAATTTCTAGTCTGTTTAAATTTATTTTTAATTTATATATTTACTTTACTTCCTTATTAATTTCTGGTCTTAAATCTAAAACTGTTTTACATGACAGGAAAAAAGGAATCACATGAGTAACATGATAAATTATTTCCATTTAATGGAATGGAAATAACATTGCTTTGTCTTCAGTTTGGCTTTTGTCTTTGTTTGTTTTTTGAGACAAGATTTCTATGTAGCTCTGGTGTCCTTGAATTTGCGATGTAGACCAGGCTGGCCACAAACTCACAGAGATCACCTGCCTCTGCAGATCAAGGGATGAAATTAAAGGTGTAATCCACCATGCCCGGCGCTTTCTCCTTTTTAACAGTGGTATCCTTGGGGACTGGGAGTAGGCTGGTGTTGTATTCTTTGTTTGACAGTGTGTCATGAATTCCCTACCCCGGACTTCCAAAGACATTATGCAGAGATCCTCAAACTCAAAGGAAGGAAAAGAACTTAAGTGAAATTCTTCCTTCAACTTTGAAACAAGAAGAGTTTTAAAAGCTTCCCCTCCTTCTGTGTTCTTATAAGTGATTTTGCAAATAAGTCATCAGCTAAACTTCCTGATGTAAGGCGATATAAATGCCTAATGTGACCAGTGATAAAAGAGCAGATAGTAGCTCCTCTTGTGAGTTGGATGCTGTCTGACAGTACTGTCACCCTTTAGTGGGATTTTGTTTAGTTATTATAACTATCTCTCCATAAATGACATTTGGGATTATTTAAGATTATGTTGTAATCCTTTTAATCCTTGGTGCTTTAAATTTCAGGCTAAACACCAAAGAGCAAACCAGTACTTAGCAGAAATGTTTAAAACATGTGATTTGAGCATAAATCTTTTTGCCCAGGCTCTCCTTGATGAAGACTTGGCATTGCTTTTAGTTAAGTAAGAAAATTTGTCTAAAGTTCATCCCAAATTGCTCACAGGCTAGACGTGTTCTCAAGCTATATCAGATTTGTGATGGTCCATGAAATTACTCTTTTTGTAGATTAAACAAATGTTAGAACAATGGACATTCACTAACTTAGTTTAGCATCTGTATAGTCCTTTCATAACTGCAAACCTTCTTTGTGTGTGTGTGTGTGTGTGTGTGTGTGTGTGTGTGTGTGTAATGCTCACTGCATTTCCAAAGATCAAATAATTCAATATAAACGTGCACCTATTTATATTGTTTACACTATATTTATACACATTTTGACACCTTAGATTACATGTCATAGACAATGTATCACAGAAGAAAACAGTATTTTTTAACATGTTACTTGCAGTTGAACAACACCTATCAGACAAAATTAGTGCAAAGATTCTGGCTCCAAAGTAGGCAGAGAAAATGAATATCATTTTGATTCACCAAAAGGTATTATATACTAATGCTATAATTCTGTCACTATGATGCTAGTATGTACTATTTAAAAAAGACTGAATCAACATTGAGTTTGATGGAAATTTGTCTGTCAAGAAAACTTGTGTTTTGTTAAATTAAAAAATGAACAAGTCATATGTCTATGTAGTACAAACAGTGAATGAAAAATATTCCATTGTTCTGTATCAAAATGTATGATTCCAGCATATCTCAGACACTCACTATTTTTGTTTGTTTTCCTATTTATTTCAAGTTTGACTTCTCTACAGACATGGTAATTATGTGGTATATAATTGCCAATCCATCAACTTTTTAAAGACAGATTTCAAATTTTAAATTATTTCTAATTTCGCTCTTCTTTGATTCTTCTGGAACTAAAAAATCTCAATAGTCGTTTGCTATCTGTAATCTATAATTCATAGGCTGAGATTGAATATCAAGCCTAACTCAAACTTGGAATCCTAAAACTATTTTTGATGTGGTACCTCAGCTGAAGTTAGAAGGGTCTTTTTCAGTGAGGAAGAAACGTTTCATTATTCAGTAGGTAATGAAACCCTTACACATACTCAAACACCTACCCCTGCCTTAATACCATGTTTTTGAGATATAATAATGTTTATTCTGATCATTTGAGACTTAGCCCAGCTAATGTATCTAATCAAATATTGATGTGCGTCATCTGGACTTAGTTGTCTGGCAAATTCTTCCAAAGCTTTTTTGTTAACAGAACTATAAAAGTAATTTATATTATTCTGTTCAAACAGCTGACTGTCCTGGTCTACTCTACGGGTACATATAGCTCATAAAAAGTCAGGTGATTTATCTGAAATGGATGAGCAGAAAGTGATACCAGAATTTTCCTTTAACTTTGCTATTCACAATATCTTTATAGTGAACTATTTCTATATACAAAACTGTCAAGATCTTTTCACCTATTATCTATCATTACCTACATATTTACCTATCATACTATCTATCTGCATAAGTACTATCTATCAATCATCTGCTCAAATATTGAAGGATCAAGGCCCCATGAACTGCTGTATTACAAACAAAAATAGATGACAAGAAATTTCAAGCCACTAAATTTTCAAACAGTGAAAACAGACTTCACTATCATTGGAAGAACCTGAATTCAGGAATACATACATACATATATAATATATATATCAAGTGGAAAATATAAAGAGATGAGCATTAACAATATTTTGAAAAGTTAATAATGGTATATTACATCATCACTTGTGATCATACAGAGTTGACGACAGTCTTATTTTTTGATCTAGTTGAAACTTTAAAGAGATACAAGGAGAAAGACTGACCTCACAAATTTATGAAAAGTTCTATTCTAAAAACATCATGTTCTCAAAATTTTTACAGCCTCCCTAAATTTTGACCACTTTACTAATCAGGGGAACCCACGATACATGTAAGTCCACAGCATCTTGTTCTAGACCCGTGGTTCTCGGCCTTTCTAATGCTCTGACCCTTTAAAACAGTTCTGTATGTTTTGGTGACCCCAACCATAACCTTATTTTTATTGCTACCTTATAGTGGTGCTTTTGCTAGTGTTATGAATTGTAATGTAAATATTTTTGGCCAGAGGTTTGCCAATGGGGCTGTGACCCACAGGTGGAGAATGGCTGTTAGATTGTCAGCGACTTAGAGCTATGAGCTTTATATTTTATTATTGGTGTCAGAAAAGCGCCAGGAGGGAGGAGAGGAGAGGGTTATTATTGATCCTTACCTTCCCACTTGCAAACAAAGTTCATTCTGTTATTTGTACCTTAATTCCCTACATCCTAAATTCTCTACCATTTGGTTTGAGATCACTGCTCTCTACGCATGCCTTCCTGCCTGTCTGCCTCCTTTCTTCCTTCCTTCCTCTTTCTTTTTTAAAATTTTATTTTTAGTTGACAGATGATAATTATATCTATCCTTTCACTTAATTTTTTGGTTAAAAACATCTCTATATTTAAGTAGAGTAAAACTAGAAACAGAAAGATGGTTTATTCTAGGACACGTGTAGTTTTTTCTTTTTAAATCTGAATAGGCCCAAATTATTTTAATATGCCCAAATAAGTGGTCTGGAGAAAGTAACCCGTACTGGAAATACTGAAAGTGAACTTTTTTTCCTCATATAAGAAGAAGCGTCAAAGGTCACCTATGCTTCTGTAAGTCCTTATACATATTTTATGAATGTATTTTATTTCATAATAACTGACTTTTACTTAAAGAGTAGAATTCTTGTAGAAAATATTTAATATTAATTAATATGTATTATTCTATTTCCTTCATCCCTAACTGGAATAATTCTAGGGGCTGGAGAGATGGCTCAGCAGTTAAGAGCAGTTGGCTACTCTTCCAGAGGTCCTGAGTTCAACTCCCAGCAACCAAAATGTGGCTCATAACCATCTATACTGAGCTCTGATGCCCTCTTCTGGCATGTAGATGTACATGCAACTAGAGCGTTCATATACATAAAATAAGTAAAGAAAAAAATGCAAATATTCTATATCACCTAAAGTAGAAAAAGACAAATCAATCTTATAATCTAAAATAATTACTAAAATAAAAATCTTGTCAAGTCATGATTCGGCAGCATCACATGTGAAATACCAAAGTTTCCAATTTCCAGTCTTTCAAGGATTTTGTGGGATTTCTTTTTTTTACACTCAGTGGAATATGGCTGTTATTGTTGATCAATCATAGCAATTATTTCTTCCAAAAGTGGACAATATAAAAGAATCCAATTTAAAATTTATTATTAATTAAATTTGCGCGTTGACAACTTTTTCCATGTATATTGTGCAGTCTCATCGCTCTTCTACCTCCCTCTCCCCTCTTCCTGCCGGGCCCCATCAAGCTGCCCTGCCCCTCTGCGTCCTTACTTAGACCAGTAAAAGTAGTTAATGACTGGAAGGAAGGGGCGGCAGCGAATGAGAATAACTTATTATTAGTGAGTCTTAATTCCTGTGTGTTTGAAAGTACTACATTAAATCTATTTAAGCAAAGCATTCTAGGTTGGCGCCCCCAAACAACTATCAAATATGTCGCAAAATTCAATGATGCTGCCGTAAATTAATTGACACAAAACACCCATCTTTCTGTTTCGCTAGCAACCGGTCATGAGGGGAAAACACAAAATAAAACCGCGATTCCACAAGGAAGAGGAGGGAGAGTCAGTCTTCCATAATGACCTCCAGACAGGCAGTTCATAGACACAGAAACATCACAGGAAGGTAGTCTTATTCTGATTACCCAAGAGAGCTCAGATTTAGAGGAAAGCGGAATAAATTGAGCGCATGTGGCATTCTTACCTGAAAGACGCTCTTTCTGCTTGATTTTTCCTTGGCCCATTCTATATGTGCACCACACAAATCCACACTTTCTGCTTTGTGCCTGTCTTTCTGTAAACAAAAAATGAAATAAGAATAAAGATCACACACCAGAGAAAATGAGTTTACTGAGCTAGGGGTAATACATATGTATGGCAGAAAGCCTCTCTTTTGTGCTTCCCAGGGGAAACCTAATCTGTGGGGCTTTTACTTGGGATTTTCTAATCTTAATACTCTAAAATTAGAAGCATAGTTTTACACATATTTCATTGGTTACAGATAATAAGAAGAATCAATATTTATAGCAATGATTAGACATAATGTTAAAAAAAATAAAAACAGAAGCTCAAAGATCTGCTTTTCTGTTCTGTATAACGTTGTTGGCCAGTGACGGACATGAAAAATTTAGGTCATAGAGCTGTTAGACCAAAAAGTAAGAGGAAAGTTAGAAAAATCACACTGCCATGGAAAAAGCTCTGATATTAGTTTTGTGACTTCAGTGAAGTTACTTTCAACCTCGCTACAGCATCTTGATAGGGTAGCAAATTGATTCAATTAATCTCAGACGCTCCTCAAATGTTCGCGATGACGCACATCTGTAACCCTAGCACTCAGGGAGGCAAAGGCAGGCAGATCTTTGTGATTTCAAGGCCAGCCTGGTCTACAAAGTGAGTCCAGGATAGACAAGGTTATACAAAGAAATCCTGTCTCAAAAAAAAAAAAAAAGAATCATTAAGTTTAAACAATGAAATTTCAGTTGGACACAGTGGCACACATCTCTGAACCTAGCACTCACAAGGCAGAGGCAGGCTGATCTCGGTAAATCGAAGGGCAGTCTGCTCGACTGAGTGAGGCACTGTTTTAGAAAATATGAAGAAAGGAAAAAAAAAAGAAAGATCCACATTTTAGACTTTAGAAGTACATGTGTAAATTTTATGTAATAAATTTAATTTATTTATTAAGTAGATCATAGTGTTTGCTTTTTTTGTAAAACATACCTAAGAAATGAAAGTCATTTCATTTCACTGATTTCTAACAACCAGCTAATATAAATGTTAACCGTGGTTGCCTAATAGTTTCACTGGGCTCGTAGTGAATAGCCTTTACATGAGTTTAAATTCACATAACTTCAAGTCTTAAGCAAAGGCTAAGTTTGGGAAATTTCTCTACTATTTCTCAAGGACGTGTTTATAGCGAGATGCTCTTCAACAATGTCCATGTGCTCTGAGCTACTCTAGGATTCTTTACTAAAATATTTATTTCCTCACTTTTTTTTTCCCTACAGAACATCTTGAATATTCTGTCTAGAAACGTTATAATACTTAACGCAGCTTTTAATGTCATGAACTTTAAGTCAAAACTGGAGATTAGAAATGTAAATTAGAAATGTTAAAAGATATTTTCTGTGCATAATTGTTGCCTCATAACACTATGTCAACTTTTATTGGACTTAAAAAAATTCCAATTTAGGAGTAACAAAAAGATTTTTATCTATTTTTAATATATATATATTCCTATGGTAAAATAAGAGATGTTTACCTTTCAGCAACTAAAGTGTGTGCATGTGTGAGAGGGGACTCCCCAAGCATATGTTTTCTGAAAGAAAAAAAAAACTTCACCTGATTGGATAGCAGTCCATAGCATGTCGTTCACTCATATTCAAGGAGCCCTGTGGGAAAGCCTGTAAAATCAGCCACCCCTGAAAACTATTACAATCAGCGTGGTCCACAGGTTCATTCCTCACTGACAGCCAGCCTACCACTACTGTAGATCTCATGAAGAAATAGCAACAAGTCGCTTCCTATAGAGTTGGTTAAATTATTTCATATTCAGCACCAACAATAATCATGAAGGGAATAAAACTCAAGGGCTTTATTTCCCCAGGTAAAGGGTGGGCGGGATGGTAGCAGGGTTACGTTATGTAAGAAACACTTTGCAAAGATGCAGCATTTTCTTTTATTTATCAAAGTTTTTATTTTTTTATATTAGTTACAGTTTATTAGCTTTGTATCCCAGCTGTAGCCCCCTCCCTCATTCCCTCCCAATCCCACCCTCCTTCCCTCATCTCCTCCCTGCCCTTCTCTAAGTTCACTGATAGGGGAGGTGTTCCTTCCTTTCCATCTGACCCTAGCTTGTCAGGTCTCTTCAGGACTGGCTGAAATGTCCTCCTCTCTGGCCTAGCAAGACTACTCCTCCCTCTGGAGTCAGGGTGTGGGTCAAAGAGCCAGCCACTGAGTTCATGTCAGAAACAGTCCCTGTTCCCCTTATTAGGGAAACCACCTGGATACTGAGCTGCCATGGGCTACATCCCAGCAGGGGAGTTCTAGGTTATATCCATGCATGGTCCTTGGTTGGAAAACAGTCTCAGAAAAGATCCCTGTGCCCAGATATATTTGGTCCTTGTAGAGTTCCTGTCCTCTCCAGATCATACTAACTCCCCTTTCTTTCCTATGATTCCCTGCACTCTGCCTAAGGTTTGGTTATGAGTCTCAGCATCTGCTTTGATACATTGCTAGGTAGAGTCTTTCAGACACCCTCTCTGATAGGCTCCTGTCCTGTTACTTGTTTTTTCCTACTTCCAATGTCCATCCCATTTGTTCTTTTATGTGATGATTGATCATCTTACCCTGGGTCCTCTTTCTTGTTTATCTTCTTTAGGTGTACAGATATATCTTATAGGTCTAGTACCTACTTATAAGTGAGTATATACAGTGTGTGTCTTTCTCCTTCTGGGATACCTCACTCAGAATGATCTTTTCTAGATCCTACAGTTTGCCTGCAAATTTCATGATTTCCTTGTTTTTAATTGCTGAGTAGTATTCCACTGTGTAAAAGTACCACAATTTCTGTATCCATTCCTCCATTGATGGACATCTGGGTTGTTTCCAGGTTCTGGCTATTACGAATAAAGCTGCTGCGAAGATGGTTGAGCAAATGTCCTTGTTGTGTACTTGAGCATCTTTTGGATACATGCCTAGGTTAGCTAGCATCTCCCTATGACCAGGACATCATTTAATCCTGGCAATACTGTGAGGCAGTTAGTATTATTACAATGGTGTGATAGGTTTTAAGATATATCAGAATGAGTCTGGCTATGTAGGAGTTTTCCAAGGCAAGTGTCTTAGAGAGGTCAGACTTCTTTTTATTTTAAATTATTTCATTTTACCTCCTACATCTGAGTATTTTTTCCGACTGCATACCCATGCATCACTTTCGTTCCTGGTGCCTATGGTAAAAATGGGCAGCACATCTGCCAGAACCGGAGTCAGAGATGGTTCTGAGTCACGTTTTGGGGCCTGGTAATTGAACTCTGGTCCTTTGGAAGGTCAGCAAATGCACTTAACTGCTGAGCCATCTCTCCAGCCCTTGGGGTAAGAATCCAAATGCAACCATAGTCACTATCTGCTTTGTGCATTGCTGGAAATCAAACCTGAGGCTTTGCTCACGCATAGCCAAGGGCTCTACACAGGGATGGATCCACAACTCCCAAAGTCTGTTCTTAACCACTACACAGCCCTTGACACTGGAAAAACATGTCAGAATGGGGACTGTGGCTGGTTCATCAGAGTGCAGGGCAGGCACTGATCTTGTTTTACCCCCCTACTGAAATGATCTTGTTGGATATCCTTCATCCATTTACTGTCTTCATGTGCAAATCTTCATGCAGCTGGTTCCTTTACATCAGCTCACTGCTGAAAGCACCTTGTCACCAGTGGTTTTGAACCTTTATGTGAAGCAGCTGTTTCTCTTCACACCTGGTGATTTTCACCCTGATTCTTACTAACATCACTTCAACCTGAAAGTAACACATATGCTTTTATAATACTGAAGGTCTCTGTTTTCCCCCTAGGCCTGAGATTCTCAACTTGGGGCTTGTTTGCCTTTTCCTTCACTGTTTTTCCCAATGTATGTGACAGTGCCTGGCACATACTTGGGGTCAGGTGAATATTTACTGAAATCCTGAAAGAAGAAATATATCAACATGCAATTAACTTTTCTGCTTTGTAAGGAAGTCCTGAGTATCTTTAAATTTTTAGTTAAGATTTCTAAAAATTTTAAGAGTAACACAGTCATTTGTGATTTGGGGAAGTGATTACAATAGTTTAATGGATTAATGCAAACTAGATATGCAATTTATGGAATCATTCTAAACCAATCATTGTGCAGCTTCTCTATCAATATGTCAGCTATGCTTCATTCTAAGATTCCAGGGTTAACTGAAGTATTGATTGTTCCATTAAAAATTTCACAGCTGGGGCTGAACATATGGATCACTGACACACTAGCATACATAAGGTTCTGGGTTCAATCCCTTGTAACACACAAACATGTATGAGGGAGGGGAAGGAGCAGAGGCAGAGACAGAGGTAGAGACAAAAATTTCTGTATTAGTATCCCTCGACAACTACCTGATTGGGGTTGTCTCTGACATGAACTCAGTGTCTGGCTCTTTGATCACCTCCCCCTGAGGGGGAAGCAGCCTTACCAGGCCACAGAGGAAGACAATGCAGCCAGTCCTGATGAGACATGATAGGCTAGGGTCACAGGGAAGGGGAGGAGGACCTCCCCTTATCAATGGACTTGGGGAGGGGCATGGGGGAAGAAAAGGGAGGGAGAGCAAGATTTGGAGGGGACAAGAGAGGGGACTACAGCTGGGATACAAAGTGAATAAATTGTAATAAATAAAAAAGTAAATTAAAAAAAGAAAACAACAACAACAAAAAACCTACCTGATTCCCTATAGAAGTCTCTACAATGTTGAAACAGAGGACCTCAGTGGGTAAAGAGCAACTTCAGGCTTTCATATTCTTTGCATCGCTTAGCTATGCCAATCTTTAAATGTCATCAGCATCATGAACTAGATCTCATGGCTGTGGCATGTGGCTCATGATTATCCCAATCCAAATTCCTGTCACTCCCTATCACCTCTCTTTGCTCCTCCTGGTAGCACACCTTTCCTGACCTTGCCCTTCTTGTGTCCTGTGCTCCTCATGTTCTCATTCTTCCATCTTCTCTCTAATCCTGACTAAACTGTGTTTCTCTTCAATAGACCAAACTGTGAGTTCTGCAGT